TGCACCATCTCAAAGAGGGCCTCTGTACTATTGAAACCACCCCAAAATTTCTAAAAACAAAATGAGAATATGTATGACTACAGTATTATAATGAATACACGTTATTTCCTGCCTCTGCAAGTTAGACCAACCAGACACAAATCAGTTCAGCTCCCCTTTCCCCTGCACAATAAACAGGAATGATCAACACAATAAGGGAGATTTCCTCTTCCAAAGAATAATTTAATGCTCATTAAAAGACCAGGATTTGCAACCTTGGAAATTGAGGATTTCTGCCTATATGGGGTAGGCACAGACTATATACACTCTGTGCTAAAGTAGTAGCCTGGACAACTGTTATGCAGCCCCTCCTCATCTCTTCTAGGTTAACAGATAAGAGATTGGTCAGTGCTACTGCAGAGATGGGAGCCTGATTTAGATGGTATGAAGAACGTGCCAATTTCAAGAAGAATCTGAGCTAATGAAAGATTTACTCAAATGACACATTCACTTATCTAAAATGTCCGGCCCACTCACCTGCTTTTGCAGAGGATGGTCTGGATAATCTCTGGCTGTAGATCTGAGCAACACTGTGAAAGGATGAGAATGGACCAGTGATGTGGCCACCAGACTGAGAACGGTGCAACTCTGCATGGCTAGATGTTGGGTGGGATACCATGTTTGTAGAGAAAGACTGGTTGTCAGAAACTGTGCTGTGGTTCTGGAAAGGTGGGGACTGAGTCAGTCCAGGACCAGCTGGAGGAGGCAGGGATGAGTGGTGACTAGACACCTGTGTGTTTTTAGAGGCTGTGGTATGAGATGAAAACTGTGAGCTGATGCTTGTCTGGAGCATAGCACCAGGACCAGAGGAGGAAGCACTGTGAGGGCTGCACTGAGGTAATTTCAGCTCATCTTCTGTGAAGGATAAAGAAAGGCAAATCAGGACATTTCATAAGGTAAACTTTTTTCCAGAGTCCCAGAGATAATGGCCACTTAGTCAATGGCCTATGTTTGCTGGCTTGATGAAAGCTAAGAAAACCTTAGCTACCAGGAAGGACTGGCAAAAAAACTGAATTAGGCTTATCCTCTTCCTGAACTCATTTTATCTAGCAGATAAGGTTCTCTGAGTAGATGTGATATCTTTTATAAGACCAACTGAGGAGTTGGAAAAAAGTTCTTAGCAAGCTCTCCAATCACCCTTCTTCAAGCACAGGAAGTCTGTTGCCTGAAGAAGGATGACTGTGCCCAAAAGCTTGCTAAGAACTTTTTTCCAACTACTCTGTTGGTCTAATAAAAGACACCACATCCACGCAAAAAACTTTGCCTGCCTATGTCCTTAGACCAACACGGCTACAACCAGAAATCCAGCAACACTGAATTTATCTAGCAGAGGCCTTTCACCATAGACAGAAGTTAATTTCAAGTGCTAATGAAAGAACTATTCATCCTACAACATCTTTTCTGTCCATTTATTAAGTGAGAGGCCATCTTGACAAATTCTTCTTATGGAACTGAAGCTGGGACTTCTTCAGGTTGTTTCTGCCTCTAGGATCTGATCAAATTATTTGTTCAAACAGTTTAAATCTAAACAATCTACATCTACATCTCAACTGTTTATTGCAGAACTAACCCCACTCCTGGCTGGCTGGTTCACTTACGAGATGATCCAATTTCTCTGGGCTTGTCACCTTTTAGCTCTCCTTCTGCATTTAGTTCTGCCACGGGACATTCGAGCTGATTACTTTTCACTTCCTCCACCACCTCAGGAAGATCTGAAATTATGTTTAAGCATTGAGGAACAGAGGAGTTCAAGTTGCTAACACTATGGAAACTGGAGTAACAAGGTTTAATATCTTGCTGCCAGGCTGAATTAATTTCCCATTTGTTACTGTGGTTCTCACCGCTGTTTAAGCAGCTTTGCTTTTTGTTATCCAGGGCATAATATCACATGGAGTAAATTCTACCCCCGCACTGGAATGCCTAATCAGTCCCATATATAAGATCCACCCCTCTCTAGACTATGCAGGGATCCTGTGTCAAGAGAGATAAAACTTATCACCCCCATGCTCCCTATATGCATGCTGAGACTCATTTCTGGGGTTCTACATTCTCACCCTCTCTCTCCACACACACACACACACACACACACACACACGGCCTTGATAGCCAGCCCTCGTCTTCCTGTAAACTGTCAGAACTGCCAAGGCACTCACCTTTCTGAGCTGTGCTTTCTGATGGATTGCTGCTGTTGCAGGGCTTTGAGGTTCTGGGGTTGGTACCCAAGAATACACTGGCCGACTTATTCTTGTGTGTGTAAAATGTCAGCACCTCCTCTAAGTCACTCTCACTACGACAGGAAGAGAAGGAAGAGTCTCAGTGAGAATTTTAGAGGATTCTGCCCTCATGTGCAGAAACAATAGAACCTCTCAATAGAAACAAGAACATGAGGCTGCAGAGACCAAAGAGGCCTGAGAAATTACTGGCCTAAATAGAAAGAATACCTGGAACTGTAACGTGCCCTAGTCTGTGTTATGGAATAGCACATCTCTTGGCTGGTAATGGCATTACTGAAATGCCATTACCAGCATCTCAGTGTGGCAGGGACCTCAGGCTAGACAAAATAAAAGTGTCGACATTATATAATTTTTGTGACCTCCACTCAACTGGATTAATTCAGGTCTGAGCAACTACCATTACCAAGCTTCCACCAGGACTCTCCAGAGCAAGAGGCCATCAAGAATTCTGCTCAGCCTGTTTCATATTCATTATTAATGCCCTCCCCCAAAGGAGGGCATTAATAAAACCACCAAACAGGCCCACTAAGAGGTGGGCCTGTTAATTAAGAAATGCCACAGAGTCAAAAAAGAGAAGTGGTCAACATTTTCACAGGTCCAACAGAAATTGTGACTAATCCTTTTTCTTACCTTTTGGGCAACAGATATATTCTACTGTAAAACCTTCCCCTAAAGTCTTACTCCTTGTTACCTCTTAGTCAGTTCCAGTCACTTAGCCCTTCTGTTAAGAATACTTTTTGAGCTGTACTTCTAGTTTCTTGAATGACATTTTCCTTTCCCTTACTTTTCTCAGCTATGGCTTGTGACCATGTAGTACAACACAACATCAGCAAGCAGGAGGGTACCGCTGGCAACAGTCGCAACAAAACACAATCCAAGAAGGCAAAGTAAAGATTCTTGGCAGAAATTACAATTCTGCAAGGTGTCCTCTGCACATATCCGTGCCTGTGAGATGCACGTCTGGCACAACAGAGCTCTGGAAAAAGCAGTGCCTATTCAGACCTCACAAGTGTTTAGACTTTCAAAACACACTGAAAAGCTCATCTACCTTTCTCAGGCCTTTGAAAACAGTATGAGGGTGGAAAACTGCTGTGGTGAAGAAGTTATTGGTTGTGAGGGTGAGTTAAACCTCCAGGTTGCTTTTCTTATTATCAGTGGCTTCGAGTGAACTGACTTGTAGAATTAAATTTGGGTATTAATTCAGTTACATTTTTAAAGCTGTCAAGGGTGTTTAGAGCCTACAGCTAGGTACTCTCTTAGCATGTATAACACAAAATACAATACATACACAAACCACCCTCTCTTGGCACCAAGGTTAGGTTTTTGTCTAACAAGTGGTAACAACTAGTATTCATCTTGTTCAATGTCTCAGTGACTAGCAGAACCAGCCTTCAAAGGAAGATTTTCCCCTTTTGCTTGATCCACTGAAGACTGGCCAGTTGGCTTAAGCCATAAATGCCAATGCAGAGTAGAATGGCAGATACTAAAGTTTTTAGAAATACCTGAAGCATCATAAAAAAACCCAGAGGGAATACTTAGAAACTACTCACCCCTCAGCAATAATGTATTTTCCTGTGCTTTTAATTTTTTGGCAGATGGTCTAGCAAAAGCAGCAACCTCAAGACAGAATTAAATATTAAGGTACAACAGCCAAGAAACCAGTTGCAAAGAATGCTAGTTCATCTAAAGAGTACACAATTCTGTCCAAGCCATCAGGCTTCCTAGCATCACTGTCTAATGGAGTAGACTGACCTACCATAGAGCTGTTCATCATTTTATTGACTACATGAAGAATCAGAGAGACAACCGTCTTCTTTGAAGACCACCACCAGTTGGGGAACCAAGTAAAAAGTGATTGGTCTTCTGGGTAACTGCAGGAGCAAATGCTAAGAACAGTCAAATATCCCGAGTCATGTTCCTCAGTAATATTTTGAAAGGCTATTAGCATTTTCTGGGACAACTCTGATATTGTGTTTAATGAGTCCATAATGGATCAGCAACTCCTAAAACTAACTGCAATCATAAGGTAACACCAGAAAACTACAATGCTCCCTGATCAGTAGCAAAGCTCTGGCCGATTACCATCATTCCCCATTAATTTCCAACAAGTCACTGTGGGTACTATCCAGACAGAGGAGGTGGCAGCAGGTTCCACAACCAGATGTGATGAAGGAGAGAGCATGTTATCCTTCTTAGAGAAGGCAAAAGTGTGGTAATAATCCAGCTGAGAAGCCTGTTCCTCTGTAGAACCCTGGTCCCCAAGAAACAGAGAGGTCCTTGCCATCATCAGTTAAATTGGGACATTGGACTAAAAGAGTTCTGCTGAATCAAGTCAAGTCCCCTGTGTGCATAGGCAATCAAGTAACCCGAGGAATCGTCATAATGACCACTTCAAGCCCTTACATTCAACTACAGTACATAGCACAATACCTGAAATACCACCACCCTATAAACATGCCATAGGTAAAAGCAGGAAAGATGAAAGCATTGCTGATGTCCTGCCACTGCAAACACAAGGATGTAGTTGGTTAATATGTGACCAGAAGATCCTAGAAAAAGAACCATGCCCTAGCACTACAGAGGAAGGCAAAAAATATGGCCCATACTGACCAACCCATACCAGCCACAAACTACTGGAAGACCAATTCAGGCTTAACATTAGGAAAAACTTCTTCACAGTCAGGGTGTCCAGACTGTGGAATAAACTACCTCCAGAGGTGGTGCAATCACCTACCCTGGAAATCTTCAAGAGGAGACGAGACAGTCACCCTGCTGGGGTCACCTGCCTCCCAGTTATCTTTCCTGCTTAGTGCAAGGGGCTGGAGCCGATGATTTTCCAAGGTCCCTTCCAATCTATGAACCAGATCTAAAGGAAAAATTCCTTCCTGAACCTATATTTGGCAATTAGTATGACCCTAACCAGAAGAGCAAAACTCTCTAGCCAGGAACTTTGGGTTTTCTAAGTAGTGGCAGAAGCATCAGCATATCCCAGTCAAAAACCCCAGTCTTAACTGTGGCCAATGTCCCAGTGCCTCAAAGGAAGGCCGGGGAGTGGGGGGGGAAGGAGAAAGAGAGACCTCCCAGAAGCCAGTAGCATTCATGAGGGAGAAAAAACATTCCTTGGCTGGTCCCAGCTGGCAACCAGCAAAAGCCCTGACACACAGGATTACCAGACACCTTCCACACTATATAAAAGCTACCTTATTTCTACAACCTGGAGACCACAAACACATGGATTTTCACATCCAACTCACTGATTTTTAAGCCAGAAATCCCTGGCCTTTAATACCATTCCTTCCATAAAATTATCTAGCTCAATCTTGAAATGATGAGTTACATGTCCCCAACACTTTGCTGAAATGACCACCCCAAAAGTTTACTCCTCTGACAGAAATCTAAACTTCCAGTGTAAATTTATCTGTAGCTGATTTCTAGCCATTTGATCTTCTGTTGTTGCTTTTAAACCCAGAACGCTCTT